AGCCACAGTAAGCAAAAGCGCTCCGTTCTTAGAGAGACCGTGAAGCGTCGCTCAGTCAAAGGTTGCGGTGCGGCATTTAGCTGTTGATCCAATATTTACACGGGTCCTACTTCTTGCCTTATCGTAAGCCTTATTTTGTTCCACAGACGTTTTCCTCTTTTGTTTTTTATCCGCCATCTCAATCTTTCTGTCGTCGCTAGGCTCGGCTAATGTCCGTCCTGTGCACTGAGCGCTCTCTCCTCCACATCATGAGTAGACACGCCCCTTACTGCTGATTGGCTACAAGTTTGTTTTGGTACTCGGCCTGACTCAGTTTTCTAAAGCGTTTTTGAAAAAATAATTACCCCACCTTTATGGGTATGCTATGTCAGAGAATGCTTCATATCCATCAATGGAGACTGTACAATGCAAGAAAGTAGAGGGAAAACAATCACCTAGGACACACTGTATTAACAACACATTAGCAACCACGCAGCAACACTTTAAAGGACTTAAAACTATTAAAAGGACATTGGCTGAAGAATGAAGTAAAGTGAACTGAAATCGAACTAACATTATTCTGATCACATGCTAGCAACAAGTTTTCAGGACAATGATCCCTCAGGGAGAACTGCTCAGATCATTTCAATACGATGACACAAAGACAACACAGAAAAAAAATCAAAGACAGAGTACAAGAATCCCAAAGCAGATTGCTTTCTGAAAGCATATTATTCGTTTGCTCAGTTAAAATCTACTGAGGTCTCTTCCAAACCCTCATACAGAAACTTTTCAGATTATTACATATTTATATATACACTACCAGTCAAAAGATTGTGAACAGTAATGTATTTTTTTTAAGAATTATCTTCTTAAAAGAGAAGCCTGCATTTATTTGATCCAAAATACAACAAAAGCTGCAATATTGTGAAATATTTTTACTGTTTAAAAGAGCATAAAAATTATTTGAGTAATTTGACAAATGTACATTATGTACTTCTTAAATGATATGAAACCTATGATTGTGATAATGGAATTGTAACATTACTTAATAAAACAAAATTTAATTAAAACAGATGTGGTTAGTCAGTTAGTTAGTAATGTACAGTAGGTCACATAAAATTTGTCTTGGAAACATTTGACCTACCATGCCTTCATAATTTATTTATATTTGATATATCATGAAAATATGAAATATATCCTGTTTTAAACTATGATGATCTTCCAGAGGCTAGACAATTAAGTATTTATTGTATGAAAAGATTTCTATCAGTATTGTAGTGCAATGTACACAACAATTAACAATTTTGCCTCTTAACGGTTTTCCACTAATGGTGTTTTGAAAAGCTGATGTACTTGTTTACCAGGACAGAGCAGTGTCATTAAAATGCAAGCTTAATATGAATGGAAAGAAAAGAAAAAAAGTAAATATCATAAAAGCAAAATATTATTTTGTTTATTTCCATGCACACAGTGCATAATCTTGTCTAATTATGCAAAAAAAGTGTGAAAATGCTATTTATTTGAGTGTATTTACTTTACATAAAATGCTTGATTTGAATTTAGACTTAGTTGAAGAAATACAACCCAGTCTCATGAGAAAACATTTACGAGGGGGTGATTTCGCATGAATTGGTATGATGTGTTTCCTATGGAAATATACAGTCTTTAAAAGCAAAACATAAGCATGCAGGTCCCCCCCTAAATTTAACCTTCAGTGGGGCGTAAACAGATCATACGAATTAGCCACCAATTCCCCAAAACGTAAAAAAAAGTTTCTAATTACCATGAGAGTGTGTAACTAATTTTCTCTCCATTTTCTTAAAGGGATGTATTGATGCATTCCCTAAGCCTGTCTGTCTGAGCATATCCAAAATTTGGAATCTTACTTAAGATATCTAAATACTGAAGTCCACTTTGCAGGGTGTTTATAATGCTTCTAGTGTGCTGTTGTTGCCAATAGGTATTTGTAACATCCCCTGTCACCAAACCCAAGAACTGGATGGCCACAGTCAGCCAGATACTAACAATCAATTCAGCACTATAATATCAGAATGCCTAGAGCACTGGAAAAAAAGCACTGGATGCACACCACACTAAGCTTTACCGTGAGCTATTGGAGTGCATAATTTCCAAGCACGAACGCAGCAGTCACAGCATTTGAGCTAAAAATGCAACAACACAGGAAGTGTCACAACTGTCAACAAATGAATATTTGAGTCGTCTTCAAATTGCCTAATTAATATTTCATCTTCCTCAGCAGCGGAGACAACTATGATGCACTCTATTTGCACTGAACGCGAAAGCTTTGTTTACCTACTGTCTCTGATGCTAACGCTAGCCACAGTAAGCAAAAGCGCTCCGTTCTTAGAGAGACCGTGAAGCGTCGCTCAGTCAAAGTCACATCACGCTGTTATCTATCTCACTGCCTTTCAACAAGGGCATCACAGCTTCAAAACTGGCAAGAGTGGTGTTATTTGAGTTTGTGCGCACTGCTGACTCATATTGGAAATAATGGAAATGCTACAGCTGTCACATGGGTTCTGGGAAAATTAAATCATGTTACTCCGCACCCGGTGAACAGCCAGGACTGAAGTAACAACATCCACCTACCACTGAAAGCGAAGGGGATCTGGTGTCTGGTGCATAAGTGATATTTTTAGTGAACGCACTGCAAGCGCTGGTTCCGAAACAGCACTCAGTGGTGAAATCGAGGCCCGAGTGCCAGTTATATAAGAACATTACAACGGCTCATAGACATCCCTTTTCCACCACAATGAGCATTGCCCTGGGCCTGTCATTGACCTTGATTATGTGTTTTTCCAAACGGGGACCTTGTGAACTTTGGTGCATGTTGGTGGGTTTGTATGTTGTGTCCGTTCAGAAATAAAGACCGGGTCAGATATCTACAGTCGAGGGCCCTCAGGGGTGTGTGTTGGGCCTGTGGCTATTATTACTCATCACATTCTCAAACAGGCACCGATGGAGAGCAATGCATTTGACTATTCATGATACTGAATTTTACACTTGAATGACCAGCACTGCAATGCCTTATGGATTAAAATAAGAGCCAAACGAAAATGCCTTAAAGGTAACCTGCATGTGCACTGGCTTTGACTCATTCAGCTGTTGTGAAAAATGCTCTGTTCTCACACACATGTATACATATACAGTATATATAGCCTGCATGTGCACTGCTGCTCTAATGTTGTACTAAATATGGACTGCTTGTACTGTTTCCTCCCTATTGGATTAATTAGTTAATTCTTGTATTTTTCATTATTGAGTCAATTTGGCCAAAAGCATCTGCTAAATCAATAAATTAAAATAAATAAGTAAAACTACTAGGCCTGGGGGAACATGGCCAAAGTGTTGCCCCAGCACTAAAACAGCAGCTAGTAACAGACCTATGATTATGATTTCCTCACTAACTAATAAATATACACAGTACACACACATATATTATGTAAATACAAACTTTTATTTTGGATGCGATTAATTGTGATTAATTGTTTGACAGCACTAAAATATATAACTTCACATTGTTGTATCATAAAAGGTATATGAAATTAAGAATTAGCATTTGTTAGGGAACATTTTTTTTGCTGAAGGAATACTGGAGAGAATGCATTTGTGTCAAACATTAATAAAAGAATTCTCTCAGAATTGAAAACCGTCAATTCATTTTGTCACCTTCTTTTCGACTGAGGAATGAAAATTAAGATATTTAGCGGAATGCCCTGGCTGCTCTTTTCTTTGCAACTGAAGAAGACCGTTTTACTTTACCATTAAAGCTTAGGTATTGTATGGCTTCAGAAGCCTTGGAAAATAGTATACACAAGTCATACGGACTACTTTTATTGTAACACTTTTGTCCTTATAGGAGCATATAAATAACACATAAATTAGGTATAAACCAGTCAGTTTGGATGCATGAAAAAGTGCCGCCTGAATATACCTCTACATTTTTTCATTTTTTACATTTTCATTTCACTTTCCAAACTTTTAAAAGATATCATTTTTGTTAGTATGTAATTTCTGAAATTGTCCTCTTCAGACAGGACTAGTCTTCCCTCAGGAGGTCAGGTAAATTAGAGTTTTTCCCAAACTTACTTTATGATTTTAATCTCATCTGAATTGAACACATCTGTTTTTCTCACACAATCTCAGTATAAATTATGGAGCAAATTGCCAACTGTTCTTTGGATAACTCTGGGATCCTCTGAGAAATCGAATCCCGTCCGGATAGGAATGTTTGTGATTGTGGTATAATATTTATTCACATCTTCTCCTCATTTATTTTGACCTTCAACAAATATTGTAACTAAAGCTGAACTCCCGCGTGCAGCATCTTGATTATTATGCACTGAAACCGTTTTGCCAACTTTCAGGGTAGAATAACACTTCAAGGTTCAAATTCTGCTGGCATCCTGTTTGAAAATTTGAATTAAATCAATGACGAGAGTTTCATCACAAAATGCTCAAAAACGGGGGGAAGAAAGAGTGTTAAAGGGGTAGTTCCCCCAAAAATCCAAGACAAAAAGTAAGTCATTCAGGTTTCGGACAGGTTTTAAATAATGTTCATTTTTCATTGATTTTTGGGTGAACTCATGTCATTGATTCATATCCAGGTGGATCAGCGGGGGAGTCAGAGTTAGTTCTTGCCCTTGAGTTACTGATACCAATATTCTAGTCTCCCGTCTGTCCATTCTATTTTGCCCTCGGATAAAACACTTAACTCCAGTTTACTCCAGGGGCCCTATGACATGTCACATCACTCCTCATACCTCTCATCGCACAAGCCTTCAGCCCACAGAATGACAATAAAGGTTAGAAAAACTGTAATCAATCAAAGGAGCTGAAATTTCCTTCTCAATACAAAATGTTATGTAAATTGCCCGATTGAGGACACACTTCTAGCTGACAAAAGTGCGTCATTGATGGTGTAATCAATAACGATTGATTTTCTGCAAAGAGTTGACCTTTAAATAAAGAATTAGAAGTGACATACCTCATAACAGATTCTGCGGCTTCTCATAAAATGCAAACAAGATTACAAAAACAACATACACTTTTATTTAGCAAATAGAAAGGGGCCGTTTTATACAAACTGTAAACTAGGTACTGTAATCAATTTGTTGGGTATACCTTGAAGAACTGCAGCACACATACGAACCTGTACAGCAACCGTGATGTTTCCAAGTAGGACATGTTCCTCGATCGACATCCTTAGTGGACCTGGAACAACATTCCTGTCAACCAGTCCAATTTTTAGGCTAGGTTTGGGGTCAGGAATAGGAATATTCCAGATTCAGTACAAGTTAAGCTCAGCCGATGTTGATTGCCACAAATATGAATTTCCACTCGTCCCTCATTTTGTTTGAAAAAGCAAAACTTTGGGTTACAATTGAAATGAATGGGGCCAGTCCATAAATATATCCACAATATGCAAGTTAGCATGATTTGAACCTTTTCTGTGTAAAGTCGTATCCAGCTTTACAGTTTTGTCATCACAAAAACATAAAATTACTGTAAAAATGATTTTAACATATTAAATACTGTACTTTGAACAGAAGAATGCTTTTATAAAACTATTAGCTGGGGGGGTATATTTGCTGTTTGTTTGCACTTGTACTGAACCCAGAGTATTCCTTCAAGGCTGGGGTCGGGGCTTCAAAAACATTATCAACCAAACATTTCTGTCTGGTTTTGGGGTTAGTTCATGTTCACAAAAGCACAAGAATGTTGTTCCAGGACAAACAAAACATGTTAATCCAGGAACACAACCTACTTTGTGGAATCACGGAAACTGGTACAGTGCTTTAACTGCATGACAAACCCACATGAAAACAACACATACATTTGTTTTCTCTACTCACGATTAAGGACTTAAAGATAAAAAGCACTTGTGTTCACATCTCTATTTTAACATCTTACAACACATGTTTTAGTTTTTCTCCTGTTTATGTTACAATGCGCTAATTTCGTTGAGCATCTGAGGTTAAGGTTGTATCACCTTGGAATGAATGTTCATAAATAGTGGTACAATGCAGCTGATAAAGTTATGATCCAAGGGGTTTGTGCTGCCACTGTCACACAGTATCGTAAGCTCTCACCATTGTCACCAACTGTCATTTACAACCTCCTCCGAAAGGAACAGAGAAAAACAGCTCTCAACCGGAAATCACTGGTTTGTCTAAGTATATAGAACAACACCTGCAAAATCAAAAGATAAACCTGCAATCTTTGGTTTACAAAAAAGAGAAACTTGGCTCACTGTTATTTTATTCACTTCTAATTAAAGGACCACCCATGATTCCCCAGTGTTTCTGGGAATACCTTTGCATTTGCAATAAAAGAAGCACCTGGGACTTTTTCAGAATGTCACAAAGGTTCATTTAAAATGCTAATCACCTCACTGGAGAAAATAAATCGGATGTTGCTTAACTGAATGCTGCTGAAACCAACTATCTTATATATTCCATCATTAAAGCTAAAAATGCTATTTGAAACGTGGAGGTCATTAAGATGAACTTTCTATAAAACATATAGCTGAATATTTCCACAGCGGCATTGTGAAGAACGGGTCTTTGACAGGCAGATGAGTAAACAGAGTCTTCTGGAAAATTCCCTGGAGCAGATGTCCAATTTTAGACAAATATGTGTACTGAAGTTTGTTCATCTAGTCTCTCTCTCCCCAAGTTGTCCAAGTCGCACGAACACATTTACTCCATTCATATAGTTTGGAGTCAAACATATAGAGCGGTTGTAGTTCATTCTGTCAAGCTTTTAGAGAGGAGGAGAGTATTCGGGTAAGTGAGAAGGAAGCTGGCAAAGGCTGCTGATAATGATGTCCTCAGCATTTTGGTATTACTGAAGGCGAAATATGAGAGTCTTTCTCTTTAGAGTCAATGTGAACTATGTGGGTTATGAGAGTCAATGTGAACTAAATTGCTTTATATGATCAGCTAAAAGGGGGCAAACTGATCTGAAAGCTACCTTGATTTACAGTAATCGTTTTGGTCTGGTTTGCATCTTGCATTTTTTCCTAGTGCACTCTGAGAACAAGCTCATGCGTATCAGTTCGGTCAAATCCTGATGTTCGTGGGAAGCACTCACTGGATGGTAGGCCCTGGAATTAACTTAGATCAAGGGCAGTTGCATAACCTAACAAAACAGCTCAACAAATTATTAAAACTAGGATGGCAGTTTATAAGCCACAGATTCTGTTTGGGCAGGGAGAAACAATTTAAAATGGTTAAACTGTTTCAAGGCACATTGAGAGACAATGTACCTAAGGATGTGACATATGTTGGTAACCATACTCCCACCCATCTGACAGCTGACATAACAATTCAGGGGCTGGGCTCTGCACAATAACTATATGGATGATGCAAGATGGTTTTCATCCTGGATATGCTTTGAAGCGTTAGAAAGACCTACAGAGTGCTTCTTATAGTGTTTTCGGAAAGGTCACAACATCTTTCTAGGTAGCTGGACAGATGCGTTGCATAAGACACAGTTAAATTTTTCCGTTATGGATTAGCGTTATTTCACACTGTCCTAGAGCAAAGTTCATCCTCGTAGTTGGCAAAAAAACTGTTTAAAGGCAGCCGTGGTGCCTGGAACTACTTTTGTACATTTAGAGTGGATGGAATCAAAGAAGAAAAGCAGAGCTGGGATCTACATGAGGCTTCTTCTATCATTTATATACACTGTGATGGATACAAGTACACCGGCAGGTCTCTTGTGCACAGGGTTTCAAATAAAACATTGTTCCCTTTTAAAGCGTGAGAATAATGACAATCGAAGTGTAGGTAATGACTGATGAGATTACCACTGGGATCGTATTTTCCCTGTGCTGTGACAAGTGAAGGGTTGGTCGGTGAGGAAGGGGGTTGGGTTAGGTAAGGAAGGGATCTTTGACATCAAAATATAAAAAATTACATCCAAATATTATGGCCACTTCCACAGCTGATAAATCACATAGCAGAAAAATCCACTGCTCTTCGACTTCTTTGACATCACACCAATGCACACGTAGAGAACTAGGATGAGAATGGCTACTGCTCTCAAGTTACATTATGGGGTGGTTTGCACATACAATTTCACAACTAGCAGCGTAAGGAGATGCTGACTTAGCCAACTCTGATAAATGGTGAAAAATATAAACAACACTATGTACATTTTATTGTCGACAGTAGACGCAACCGGATTTCTCTACTCGTGAGCCGTTTACGTAAACTCACCTACAAGATATTTTACTAGTGACCTAACTCTTGTATTAACAACAGCAGTTCTACCACAACCACATGGGCATGCGCATGTATACACATTTTAAATGCATAACATGTATACATATGCATACATGGTTTATTCACATTATTTTCCATTTATGTCTTGCCACAACTGACCTGGTATCGTCAATCATAAATGCTGCGAATATTTTGCAGATAGTTATCCAGCATAAAGTGCCATCAATTGGAACATTCTTTTGTTTTCCGCAAGTTTCATGTAGTCCAATAAATGTTTTTAAGGTCTTCAGTGAAGCTTCTTTTTTTTTGGATTCCGTACTTTATAGAAACAAGGATTCTTTGTTGGGGTCAGATCTCACCCAATACTCAGAAGGTTATGGATTTGTGCTGCCCGTTTTGTGTTATGGGGTTTATCTTTTCTAGCGAGACATCTGCATCGCTATCCAAATTGCCTGACATGGAAGGCGACAGTTTCTCAAAGGTCTTTATCCCAGAGTCATCCTCCCTCTTCTGGTTCTCGTCCTCCTGGCAGAGGATACTGTGAGGGATCACATAGTTGCTGTTGTTGCCCTCTTTGGGGATGTGGCCCTTAGGCTGATACTGAGAAGTAGACGGAGGGCCACCGTTGTTGTTGATACTCACAATCTCTATAGTGTTGCTGCCAGGGCAGAGTCGATGGCAGCCCAGCAGGATGGAGAATGCCTTTCGGAAGTCAGCATTGAAGGCATAGATGATAGGGTTGAGTGAGGAGTTGGCCCAACCGAACCAGACAAAGACATCGAAGGTGGTAGAACTGATGCAGAAGAAGTCAGAGCTCTCGTTGGGGTTACAGAAAGGAACCATGCAGTTCAAGATGAAGAAGGGCAGCCAGCAGCACACGAAAACGCCCATGATGACCGAGAGGGTCTTGAGAACTTTGGTTTCACGCTTGAAGGACATCTTGAAGGAGCTTTCAGACTCCATACTGCCGTTGTTACCCATGCTACTGTGGCGGTTCTTGGCGCTTTCGGCCGCTCTTTCGAGTGCCGAGATCCGGCGTATCTGCTTCTGGGCAATGCGGTAGATGCGGGTGTAAGTGACCAGCATAATGGCCACAGGTATGTAAAAACTGATCAGGGAGGAGGAGATGGCATATGTCCGATTAAGGCTGGAGTCGCAGTTGTCTGGGGGAAGCTCGCCGTAGGTGCCGTTCAGCTCCGTGTAAATGGTCGCCTGGGCTTTGTGCCAGTTTAGCTGCACGGGGATGAAGGAGATAAGGATGGACAGCGTCCACGCCACACTTATCATGATGAACGCCACCTTAGGTGTCATCTTGCGCTCGTAGCGGAACGGGCTAGAAATGGCCCAGTAGCGGTCCACGCTGATGACGCACAGATTCAAGATGGAGGCGGTGGAACACATGATGTCAAAGGCCACCCAGACATCGCAGAAGGCGCCAAACGGCCAAAACCCTACAATCTCGGTGGCCGCTTTCCATGGCATCACCAAAATGGCCACCAGCAAGTCAGAAATAGCCAGCGATATAACAAAGAAGTTGGTGACTTTTGAGCGCAGGTGGCGAAACTTTGTGACCGCAGCGCAGACCAAAGTGTTGCCCAGCAGGGTGGTCAGGATGAGGAGCGAGAGGAAACAACCAGTCAGAACTCGCTTCGACGAATCGCGCTGTGACACACTGCTGTCCAGGACCGTGGAGTAGTTCACATCCATAGCTTCTTCACCGAGTCGATTGAGCAGTCACCCCATAATTCCACACCAAACCGAGAGTGCTTACACAGGAATCGGAGCAACTAGTTGATCTGGTTTGTCTGACGCTATGCTGACTGTAGGAGTCATCTTGCAAAACACATATCATAATCTCAATGTAAAAATCTCTTGAGGAACTCAAAAATAGATCCATGAACTCCCACAGATCTTCCCAATGAACATAATATGACTAAAAGAAGAAGAAGAAGAAAAACATACATTTAGTCTAATTATCACTTAATCTTGTTTATAAACAGATTAGTGTCTAATTAAGACCGTTTCTGCTTTCAGTACCTTTCAGCAGTTTGTTCATCGTCCCACAGCATACTCTCCTAAACAGGTTAAGCAAACACAGGCAGGCGTGATGATTAGCCTTATATATGAGCTTATCGATAGTCTATTGATCGGATTGCCGCTGCGTTGGTCTGATTTGTCCCCGTTAATGACAGCAGAAGCGCGTCCGTGTCATGTTGTTCCCAAAGCTGACTCTCCGTCCAGAGAGAGAGAGCCGGTGCCAGTTCGTTTGAGAAACAGCAAGAGGTGCGCATTTCAAGATTTCTCCGCTCCTTTTCTCAAGTGCTTTGCCAAAAGGCTTCACTTAACCGATGACAAACAAAGTCTTTCATTCCCCTCTGCGTTGCGTTTCTGTGTACATCCTCTATTGTGTTACGTTCAGCGCATCTCGATTCTACTGACCATAAGCTGCAAACGCACCAGACTCAACAGTAAAGTCATAGGCGCAATTTGGCGCACTTCTCGCGTTTCAGGCGTCCGATTTGTCCCCGTTCCATTTTGCGCGTGAAGAAAAAACATCTTCCTTCCTTTAGATTTCCTTAAAAGTGGTTTTAATGCGTTTGCATCGGTCTTGTAAGGAAAGGCTATTGTCGTCCCATGCACATCATGTGGAATTATAGCTCATACTCTCGTCCTGTCTCGCAGCATCACATGTGCATTAGCAGTCGAGCGTGCATATTCCTGCAATGTCAACGTTACAGTGCATTACTTAAAAATTAATAAATAAATAAATAAGATAAAAGAAAAAAAGAAGAAGAACAAAAAACACGGATTAGCTTTGAAAGTATCTATTGATTTCAATTTCTGCACCGTAAAAAAAACATATGTCTATCTCTGGGGACTGATGCGAATAGTCTTGAACATCATCAGGTTTGTTTTTGTCAGTGCAATAGTTTCCTTGAGTTTTTCAGAAGGCTTGCGGTCAGTCTCCTGTGCTGGGCTTACACTGAGAAGCTCTGACAGGTCTGAAGTTATGGCAAGCCATTTAAACATGTATTCCATCAAACTAATTTAATGTTACTAAGTAGGCTACTCCTTTTTTAAACACTGTTAAGAAATCATACTCATATATTTTTTCCAATTTAATTTTACTAGCAACTATTCAGTAGACACCAACACTTATTCCATAGTGATTCATATCTAATAATGTAGTCAAGTTCTTTTTTGTATTCTTGTAATTTTATTTTTATTTTTATTCAATGAATTCTATGGTGATCTGTGGTTCAGATATCAGATATTCACTTCATACTCCAACTGTTACTCATACTTTGTATTAGATATCATACAATTGTGATAGATATTAGTGTCTCATAAATATTAAATATTAAAATTGCTAGCCAATAATAGATACCTAACAAGTAATTTAAAAAATAAAATAAAATAAAGCCAGTAACACAATAGTAGTTATTCTGAAGAAGTAAACATTAACTTGGCTTGCCATACTTAAGTACCTTTGTAGGACGTGGCCATCAAAAACCCTTATAAATCGATTATAAAATATACATCATGGACGTTTAATTTCTCCTAGTTGCAAAATAATTACACATACGCCATTTTTTTTCTTTTTTTAATCGTTATACATCAATACACAATACAGCTTAATGACCAATACCTTATGTGCTTTCAGAACATGGAATGCAGTTCTGATTAAATAACCTTAAAACTAGAGCAGAACAGGTTATTTTAAAGGGGGAAAAAAACATGGCTTAAGCAGGCTTTTGCATATGAAATGGCTCAATGAGGCCATCTGCTGGAACAGATTATTTAGAGTTGTGAATGAGTCAGTATGACAACATTACGGTGAACGAGAAGTGCAAAACAAATCACAATTCTGAAAACAAAATAACAAATTACAAACGCAAATGCAAGTCTAAAAAACAAAATAATAATTCAGAAAACACAACAACAATTCAGAAAACATTATAACATTCAGAAAACACAATGACAAATTCGAAAACAAAATAACAAGTCAGAAAACACAACGACAAATCCGAAAACAAATTAACAAGTCAGAAAACACAACCACAAATCCGACAAACCAGAAGAGGTAGGTATAGTTTGAGACAGTGCCATTGGTTTGGGATTACTCACCGCTGACTGGACGAGACATCTGTCAATCACCGTATACAGGGAAGAACCAGCCGAAGAACAGCAGAGTCGTGGTAGAAAGTTCGGAGATGGTATTAAAGTAGCTCAGTTTAAATGTATTGTATGAATTGCCCTTACTATGGAATACAAAATATCTATTTACATTTAGTTAAAAATGGCTGTAAATCATCAGCTCTAGTGGTGCAGATGGATAAGCGTGTGTCATTGGCTTTTTGACGCGATCGACCCGGGTTCGATCCCGTCTTTTGCCGAACTTTCCTCCCTTTTCAAATCTCGTTTTAGCAATGGATTATATTTACACTAAGTGAAAATAGCAGTATTTTTAACAATATGCTAATTACACTAATTGCAAATACCTATTTACACTATTTTAAAATAGCAGGATTTCTACTATCAGGTATACTACTTGTTGCAAATAGTGGCAATTATCTGCACTTCAGCATTGTAGTACATTATAAAACAGTATGCAATAATAACGTATTGAGTGTAAATTATAATTTTAATTTTAATTATTAAATGGATGCCACCTTATTGATACAATAAAGCCCTCCCTACACCATCCCTAACCCTACCCGATACTTTATTTTCAACTTTTTGATTATTTTCTTAATTTTTATTGAAAATAAATGCCTTTACGATGAGATTTGAAAAGGGAGAAAAAAAAGTGCGGCAAAAAGCGGGATCAAACCCGGATCGATCATGTTAAAAAGCCAACGACAAGCACTTATCCATCTGCGCCACTAGAGCTGATGTGTTACAGCCACTTTTAACTAAATGTAAATATACACTCTGTATTTTTTATTCCAGAGTAAGGGCCATAGAAATCTGATTCCGTACAATCACCCTGTCACTATAATTCAATGTGAGAATGTTTAAAATATATATTCTTAATTTTGAAAATTAATGTCAAAATTAATATTTTTTATAAATTAATTTCATTAAAAAACATGAAGAGGTGCAGTAGAGTGATATTATCAGATGGTAATACCATGGTATTTTGATATATACTGTGGTCTTGAATGATTAACATATTTAGCCAATGGTAATTATACATTGTCATGCATGGTACATGTCTAAAAAACATGATACTTTAGGTACATTTTGCCAATGAAAAGCAAATGTTCTATGTACACAGTTATACATATTTAAATTACTTCTGCCTTTTAATATTGGCTAGCTTCAATATTCAATTCTAAGGCAAGTCAGACGGTGTGCTTCATCCACCAGAACATTAGGTTAATGACAGTACCTTGGACAGCGCCCACAAATGCATTGCCTGGGTTAATAACTCAAATCCTAGGGCTTACCACAAGCCTTCTCATTGGACTTGCCTGACTCTTAGTACATGTGGGTCAAGCTTTCCATTGGTTTCAAATGGAAGATTTGATAGCCATTCAGTTAGAAGGATTTTCAAGTTCATTTAGCCCTAGCACAAAAGTCAGCAAGAATCAAGTGACAGTTTCAGGCCACAGCACAAATGAGCCTTTTGTGTCTTTGTCAGTGTCATCGGACTCTTGAAAGAGTTGTACTATACCTTCCAAAGGTAAAGTTCCTTGACTGGTTTTGGCTTGGCAAGGACAGCGAGGTCGAAACTTGTGTTTTCAAGTATTAGTCCATAATCTCCTGAAACTCTTTGGCGGCAGCTAACATAAGCTGAGAGCTAATGAAATGAAATTCAGCTGATAAGACACTATAAAGCTGGGGAAAATATCTGCCTTTCTGCTTGATATCTTCACATGCTGTTTACAGCTGAGTGTTTTCCAAGAAACGCAGTGAACTAACAAAGAGGTCCAGGGAGAGGACAGACAAACACAAAGCTATTGATGCGTTCAGTCGATTCCTCGAGTATATCAGAGGCACAATTATTTTCGATGAGCAATCTTCACACTAGAATGAGACGGCTAGACTGATGGGATTTTTTCCTAGGCTTAACAGTGTAAAACAGAGACTGATATAACGTAATTGGTAGTACCCACTAAAAAAATTCAAAAACTAAATTTTGATTAATGGCAAAGCAGAGTGCAACAATGTTTGTTAATGCTACTAATGAAAAATACTACATATCTAGAGACCAGAGATTTTTGACTTGGTCCATTAAGCAAACACCCCAAACATTTTAGCATTATGGCATTTAGTATTTCTCATGCACTCGAAATAAAGATTCCAAAAGGTTTTTTTTTTTTCGCAGCAATGCCAGAAGAACCATTTTGGGTTCTCCAAAGAACCTTTCAGTAAAGAGTTTTTGTTTTTCTTAATGTTAAGAACGTTTTAATAATCTAAAGAACCCTTTCTTCTATAAAGAACCTTTTATGCAATAGAATTATTTGGATATTAAATGTTCTTCGTGAACTACAGATGCTAATAAAGAACAGATTCATTACTGTTTACAGGTGAAGTAGGAGTTTAGTGCCTAAAATAGGTGATAATATAATAAAAAGTAATGTTCTCATTCAATCTCATGTCGATTCAAACCCATATGATTTAATTTTTTCTAAAGCTACTGTACATTTCTGAATAATAGAATGGCTACTGTTCAGAAAGCGAATGGAAACTGGGGGTGTCATGCTCTCAAAAGGTCAAAACACTATAAAAGTACCATAAAAGTAGTCTGTGACTTGAGCACTATATTAAGTCGCCTGAAGGCATACAATACCTGTGTGGGGGGAACAGACCGAAATGTATTAATTGATATTCTTCCCTTCCACCAGCTCTCAGATCTTATTTATGCATTTATGCATATATTTGGCGAGCCACACATTGAGAATCAATGATATTTGCCATTATTTACATCAAACCTGGCATGGCACTATATTTGAATTGCCAGTTAGCAAAATTTGAATTGGGGTAGAGGAGACAATTATTACATTCTGGTCAGTTTCTAATACAACACACACACACACACACACACACACACACTATCATTCAATGCTTTGGGGTTGGTATGATTTTTTTTTTTTTAAGGTTTCTTATGTTCACTAAGGATCATTCAATGCTTTGGGGTTTGTATGATTTTTTTTTTTTTAAGGTTTCTTATGTTCACTAAGGATTTATTTATTTGATAAAAAATACAGTAAAACCATAATAATGTGAAATATTATGTTAAATGCTGCCTGTCTAGTGTGGTGAGCTAGTAACAAAAAATCATTTAAAAAAATTTAGAGTTTAATGTATATGTTTAATTTATAATACATACATACATATATATATATATATATATATATATATTGAGAACTGATAAATATTAATAATTGTATTTATAATTTAAGGCAGGCTATTTAAATGAGAAACTAAGTCAGCACTAATGTAGCATCATGTTTTTTGTTAATCTTATTAGTCTTATTTGCATCTCAAATGTGTCTCAACGATGTTTAGATATTCTGAAGACAGAGATACTGATAAGAAAATAATGTTATGCAGTGTGGGATGAACTGAGACTTCCAGAGCTTTACGTTTGCACAGCTGCAGTTTTATAGGCAATTGCTCTCATTAAGTTTAAAAGCAGCAATTGGCACAGTTTTGTACCATTTTATTTCAACCTCTTCATTTGCACCCGCTGTACAGACAGAGTCAAAACACTTAAGCATTTCTTGTCGGGGGATCGCTAAT